TAGACTTATGTTTATTTTATTAAGAACCAGAGCCTTATATTTATAGATAAGAATCAGGAATACAATGATAATAATTTTTAAGGCTGCGGGGTAAATGTGTCATTCATTAACAAACCTTAATAAACTTATAATTTATAACAAAAAATAAATTTTTTGGAGAATACGTACTAGATAGGGTTGGGCAAATCTCCCGAACCGAACCCGAACCGAACCGAACCGAACCCGACGGTTCTAGTCAAATTAAATATCCGAACGGATATTTGAATTGAGAACCGACGGGTACGGTTCGGTTCTCGGTTCTAGATCAAGAACCAAAAACCGAATAAGAACCGAATATTTCTAATTTTTTTTTATATTGAGTAAATCAAATTATTTTAATTTTAATTTTTTCTAAACAAATTAACAATTTCTAAATCTAAATTTTTGGCCCAATAATTTGTTTCACTTCTAATTTTTTAATTTTTGGCCCAATTACCCATTCTATTGTTTCATTTCTTAGTCCAACAAGATCCAATCCACTAAATAACCATAAACACCTACACTAAAGTGCATAACGTTGTCTCGACTCTCGCACTCACTCTCACAGCCTCGCTAACATTCCAAAACCTATACAATCGTCGACCGACGTTGTGACCTCCAAATCTCCGATCGAAACTGTGACCTCCTTCGATCGAAACTTTAACCGTAGCGATCATTTGAATAAGGTAGTCTACTAGTCTCTGACATTCCAAAACCATTAAATGTATTATTAGTTGTATTTATATAATGTTGTTATAAATGTTAAAAAATTTAATTATAGTACAGAATCGAAAGGAACCGAACCGAACCGAACCCGAACGGTTCCATAATTATATTTGGACCCGACGGTTCCATTTCCTAGATACCCGAAATTTTTGATTCGATTCGGGTCTCTTTAGAACCGAACCGAACCGAACCGAACCGACCCACGTCCACCCCTAGTACTAGAAATTGAGTGTAAGATCAAAAATAATTATCAAAGAATCAAAATTGAACAACGACTAGCAATCTGCTCGTGATTGGGCTTATTGTTGTAAATTGTGATAACATCAAACTACCCAATTTTTCTCCAAGAAGCTTAAAAGGACCCCATTTTATAATGTTTTTAAAATACGTATTTTTCATTCAAACTCCCAAGCACTACACCATATTTCGAGTTTCACCAATACCACCTTCAACTTTAAGGTAACACGTGTTAATTATAAAGAAACCAAAGTGTTACCACCACTACGACTCTACATATCCCACCTCCTCAAAAGAACCGGACACGACTAATCGGCACCTTTCATCGCCGCAGTTACCATGATCATAATCAGACTCCTAAAAACTACTATAATTTTTCAAATCTCAAACACCACTACTGCAAACATAAATTTCAACAAATAGAGATTAGACATTACGCCATCCATAACATGACCACCAACCGGTAACCAACTCAAATCATATAAATCCCCTGGAAACCATGTTAGGATCTTCCTTAAGCTGCTCAAAGTGATTTCCGGGCTCAGTTAACCATTAAACATCGAATTCAACACCAAAATCTAAGATGACCGACCGCCGGCTTCAACTCTCCTATGGTTGCTATTTCCTCTTTTGCTTGTTGATTCAACCACACACTTAGGATGGATACCACACAGGTAAGAGTCATAAAGGCTCAAGCAATTGGTAGGAAGACAAATCACGAAGAAGAAGGCAGAAGAAGAAAGCGGCAGTTCTCTTTACCTCTCGGGTTCTATCAAAAACGGGATGAGGAGTAGAGGTTAACCACCAATATATATATTAGTTAAATGGCCAACTTAAGGTAAGTCACAATATGGTAAGTAGGCTCGACTAGGGTTAAGTCCCAATGGAAAGAAACAACAAGCCACAAAGAGTATTAGCCATCCAATAGGTAAAGCAACGTTTGGTCGGTTCATCCATTATTCAATGTTGAATTATCGTTCAGTCATTCATGTTGACTGATAAAATTGGTTTTCATCATTGCCCGGAGGTCGTTTGACAACATGATGTCTAACAACCTCCACCTTGGTGTCAAAGGACCTGCAAAGAAAAACGTTTTTCCATTAGTGACACCTCTAACAGAAAAATCGATAAAATTGAAATCATTTACCTGTACCGATGTTTAGAAGCTCTTTGCAACTTCTAAACTTTACCAGTGGCAGCACTTGCGTGCCCATATCTGAAGGATTATACTGTGTGTGAATTTTTTTCAAGTCTTACTACTTCTTGTGATATTATATCTCTAATGAAGTGTAACCTAACATCAATATGTTTAGTGCGTTCGTGAAAAACAGGATTCTTACACAGATAGATGGATGACTGACTATCAGAATACACAACCACATACTCATTCAAGACACTCAGTTCATGAAGTAGACCTCTAAGCCATAGAGCCTCTTTAATTGCTTCAGTGGTGGCAATATATTCTGACTCTGTAGTGGATAGTGCAACTATGTGTTGTAACCGTGATTTCCAACTAACACACGAATTTGATAAGGTGAATACGTAAGAGGAAGTTGATTTCCTACCATCCATATCTTCTGCATAGTCAGCATCTACAAAATCCTTTAATTTCACGCTTTCTTTATTAGCACTAAATTTTAGACCTACGTCACTTGTACCCTTCAAATATCTTAAAAGCCACTTTAATGCTTCCCAATGTTCAGGACTTGGATTAGACATGTACCTACTGAGAGTACTAATAGCGAATCCTAAGTCCGGTCTAGTGCAAACCATCAAATACATTATGGAACCAATCACATTTGAGTATAGAATTTTACTCATGTATTCCACTTCACGTTCATTGCAGGGAGCTTGTTCTTTAGATAGAACAAAATGGTTTGCAAGAGACAACGTGACAGGTTTGCAGTCACTCATATTAAACTTTTTCAACACCTTTGATATGTATGGAGACTGATGCAAGAATACGATGGAATTTGACCTATTTCGTTCTATTTCCATGCCTAGAATCCTTTTAGCCTTTCCTAGGTCTTTCATGTCAAATTCTCCACTAAGATCTGCTTTTATATTGTTTATCCACTTAGGAGATGATCCAACTAAAAGCATGTCGTCCACATAGAGCAACAAGAACAAATAATTGTTATCAGTCTCGTTGTGTTGAAAGTACAGGCAGTGATCGAATTTACTTTTTTGAAATCCTATAGTGAGTACAAAGGAATCAAACCTCTTGTACCACTGTCTAGGTGATTGCTTTAGACCGTATAGGGATATTTTCAGAAAACACACATAATCAGGTTTTAATTTCTCTTTAAAACCTTTTGGTTGATTCATAAAGATTTGTTCATCAAGCTCTCTATGTAAAAAAGCGATTTTTACATCGAGTTGTTCAAGTTCCCAGTCAAAGAGTGCAACCAATGCGAGCATGACCCTAATAGTAGTGTACTTGACAACTGGTGAGAAAATCTCGTTATAATCAACACCTTCTTTCTGTGTGTAACCCTTTGCTACTAACCTAGCCTTAAATCTTAAGGGTTCTGTACTACTAGTACCTTCCTTAACCTTAAAGACCCACTTGCAATCAACGATTGATTTATTTTTAGGTCTTGGTACTAACTCCCAAGTTTGATTTTTTTCTAGAGAACTCATCTCTTCTTTCATAGCCTTAAGCCATTCCTTAGATTGACCACTATTCATAGCCTCTTCAAAAGTTTCTGGCTCCCTATCAACTAGTTCTTCGTAACTAGCGTATGCAAAATCCAATTCAGATTCATACCCGAACCTCCTAGGTTCTCTCGTTTGCCTTCTCTCTCTATCTCTAACTAAGTTATAGTTAGTTAATGTATTTTCTTCCTCAGGATGCTCTACTATCACTACTTCATTTTTCGATTTCTGTTTCACATTTTCTTTTTCTTTTCCTTTCCTTCTAATCATTTTTAATGAAAATAATAAATGTGTATGGACAATTGCTTTTTTAACGACGACATGGACTAGAAATGCTTGGTAATATTGTAAACTACCATGGCATTCCAAGCTCTCACTAACAATAGGGTAATTACAAGTGCGTTGAAAATCACTAGAAGTATTGTCATCGATAATTTCAATTACATTACCAATGGATATTGATCTTCAATCAAAATCACAAGCAATCATATCGTCGATGATCATTGATGAAATTTTAACGAAGTTGTACACTAGGCGCTTTACTTTTTGTCTTATAAATCAGTTAATGTACTTATATTATGTTTTAAATTGGTCTTTGAATAAATATTTCTTTCGACTTTCAAGTAAGATAATGTGGTAGAAAAAAAAAAAAAAAATCATTTGACGTAACTATACTTTTACTCCTATGTCAGTCAAAATTTTGTATTTATTGTCCCCACGTCAAATTGATACTGCCCTGATCTCCTGCTTCAAGTGGCCAGCATTAAAAATTTCTATTGTTGATGTAACAAAAAAATCTTATGGTACTTTCTTGTCATATCAGCAGTGAGAAGTTTTTATTCAATATAGGAGATCAATTTCATTAGTGATATAAATGACTTCTATCATATATTGAATATCACGTCATCGATTTCTGTACTTTTGAGTGATGGAATTGATTAAAGTTTTTCAATTGAAACTATAATTTCCCGATTAGAAAAGTTGAAGTACAGGTTTTTGACTGACATGGGAGTAAAAGTATAGTTCCATGTCAGCAGAAAATTTTGTATTTATTGTCCCCACATCAAATTTCAAGAAAAAAAATGCTTAAAATGTCATTTTCTCAGTGTATAAAAACAACAGTCCGATTATTAGGCTTTTGATAAATTTACTTCTGCCTTTACCTTTATTGGCAAAGGCCATTCAGATTTAGACGAAGTTATTTATACCACTCATCTAAAGGTGAAAGGCCACATTGTTAATTCTTTAATACATTCATTTTTTTATCACGAAAGGAATGGTAAATTTAAGAATTGGGTTTGCTCACTGTAAATCTATAATGGTTAGAAGAACAACATTTCTGTCAGCTGAAGACTAACAAGTCCAGTTAAATGCAAAAGAGCTAATGGTTTGAAGTCACAAAGGTTACAGTTACATTCACTATTTACAGATTGAAGAGTTTAAAACCTGGATGTTGTACTTCTCCATCTTCTCGTCATCATTTTAAGTGGACTACAGCAAATATGATCTTGCAACAAAGAGTAATATCACTTCATATCCTTATCTGGCTATATGAATTTTTCGAAGATTATGCTTTTAGATGAACGAAAAGGACTTCTTTCTACTCATTTTAAACAGGGATTCATTTGAATTAAGTAAATGGGTGTGTGCGCGAGAAAAAGAGAGAGCATACGTCAGTCTTGTTTCCTATACTTTTCGTTGCTTCGGCTCTTGGAGCTGGTATCTAATCCAAGACACTTGAGGAATGATTGTTTAGCTAGTCCAAGATAGTTGCAAGGATGGGCTGGATGCTTAAAAAGCCTCTGAAGCACAGAATCATTCAATGAAGGTTCATCTCGACCTTGGTCGACATCTATGATTGTCCCTCCACTTGCTTCTCCATTCCTCTCGACTTGTTGGATTTCCTCCTCCTGACAGTACAAAAAGTTTAACCACTTTCTCGTTGTCCATCATATGGCATATTTCCAATTGAAGAGGCAGATAATATACTTAGAAATGAAACTGGCTTCTAATAATCAACGCAAAATATAATTCCTGGTAGAATTTATATACAAGAAATTGAAAATATCTTATTTTATGTGTACCCTAAAGAAGGTTTATTTACTGGATTCAATCTATTGAAAATTGAAATAATTAAGCCATAGAAATTGATATAATGCAAGAACTCCATCAAATTAGCATGTTGCTTAGATGCTACCGATCTTTTCACTTTGCTAATCAAGTAGACATTATGATCTCTAATGCTAGCTCAAGAACATCTAAAGTTAATGGCAACGGTAAACGGATCTTTCGTGCAAAATTATATTTCATCACAGTAGCTCATTTATAGTGGGCATCCAGTTTGCTGTCTCTAAAATATACAAGTCTTGGTAGAGAGGTGATGACCCCTGAAAATCAACCCTATGGATTAGGGAACTGGATGTCATAAACCTATTTATTTATCAAAATTTTCACTTCAAATAAAACATATCCCATTTTATCATGCAGGAAGGTGCATTTTACCTTCTTTTGTTACACACACTGATAATAGATAACAAAAATAAACAAAGATTATGCAATTGCACTTTGAGCAAATGGGCAATCGTTGAAGCTAAATATGAGCACCAATATCAACTGTGTTCCACGAAAACACAAACATAGAGACATTGAGAAATAATTATTCAAAAATAGGGACCATACATGCCTAGAAGATGCTAATAAGATTAAATTGAGCCACCAATGTAGCAGATGACGGTTAAATTAGCCTCACACAATCCCAAATTTCCAATAAAAATTGACAATTTGTACCGCTAAAATCTCCAACTATAGAATACTTCTCCCTCGATGATTAGAAACTGATTTCTTACACTACATGTTACCAAATTGTATCGAATGCATATTTGGTACAGTGTCAAGGTTTTGATTCTCCCAGGTGAAAATCTCAAAGCATCTTTAAATGAATAATAAAAAAACAGATGTGCTGACAGGAATACAATAAAAAATGGGACACCTGGATAAGCTTTCAAGAATCTTTAACAGTAGACAATCTGTCATCTTTATAATGCAATCAAAGGCAGCCTAACAAACAGCTGTAGTTTAATAAGTCTCCGTTTGAAAAGAATTTATAAATGGTTAAACTTACAAATAGATAGAAAGGAGATGGTACTTGTGGCGCATTGAAATGTGCGGGGTGAAAATGACGTTGCACCAATTTATAAATGCCAAACGGAAGCTAAAATTTTGTCCGTTATGCCAGCGTATCAAACGTGCCCTTCAAAAGTTTCGATAAAAAACGAGAGTTTTGATGGATGTACATAACCATTTCCACATAAGTTTTCCAGATCCCTCACATGAGGTGGGTCCCACCTCATTAAAAAATGACCCCAAAAATCCCCACCCCGCCCATGTTTGTGTGTGTTCTGTAGGGGTTCTGTAGATCCCCTACCTGGTACCCAAGCATGGCTTAAAAAACAATCTGCTTCTTGGGAATGACAGAATATCAGAATTCTATGATTTTTTATCCCATTATAAGCATCGTCACCTTGTTCTAAAATGTAAAAGCGATGTGCCGAATACAGAAATTACAGAAAATAAAAATTAATAATTAAAAACTTTATACACCTCTTGGATAGTCAAATTCAAACATTAATTTCAAGCACAAAATTCAAACTTTATTTCTATCTATAGATTCAAGAATTTCCCTTCTCAGTTTTCTAGTCAAACTAATAAAACTATAATGCAAAATTCGAAAAAGGAGTGAAAAGAAAGCAATAAAATAACTGACCTTGACTCTTTGAGAAGAACTGGGGTCGTTGAGGTTGGGTGGTGGGGCAATGGCGGCGCGGCCCGTTGATGTTGAAGCGGAGATGCTGGTGGAGGCGGAGGAGGCCGCGGAGTCTGAAGTGCAGACGCTGATTCCGAAAAGAAGGATGATAAACAGAATCGTTGCAAGAAGCTGAATCCATATTAGCCATGGGATTTTGTAGCTCTCAATTATCAACTCATCACCAAAATCAAACATTATATTATAGTCTATATAATTATTACTTATTCACCAAAAATGAAAAAGAAAGAATGGGTTTTTTTCTGAAGGGTATGTAAGACCGATAAACCTTAAGCTGTGAGGTGAGTGGAGATGGAAAAGGCTTGGGATTGAAGAGAAAAGTAAAGTAAGCTAGTGTGATGCGGCAGCGTCAAGGGACTACACAGCCACGCTACAAAGTTTTTTGAGAGAGAAATTTCAACACGATTTTTCAAACACTTCCCCTTTAAAAGAGAGTATTGATATTCAAATACAACGGATGTCAAGCACCACGGTAAATATTCGATATTAAATTATAGATTTACTTAAATGCAATATCACTTTGGTACATAGCATTATTCTCTTAAAAATCTCAACAAATTTATAAAGAGATAAATGAAACGTGTAAAATTACATATCAGTGTTCGGGAAAAAAAAAATTGAATAACTCTAGGTAGAAGCTGCAAATTAGAATGTCAATTTATTTATTATTATCTTTTTTTTTTTTTTTAATCACATTCATGATTCTAGAAATATTTTGGCGTTGTTGAATGTGAGAATGATTGAAATAATTGTGGAAGAATTGAGAAGAATATTGAGAATATCTTTTGGGTTCAATTATTTGGGAATAAACATGATTCTTTGCAAAGAAAAGAAATAATTTTTGGGAGACTTATAATAATGGTAACTTACAAATATTACTTATTGTCTCATTCTCTCTTTTTGCTAATTTATTGGTTATTATCTAAATATAATTGTTTTTAATAATTTTATTATACATAAGTTTTTTTCGCTTTTGCATATTTAATTAGATATAGCTTTGAAATCAACTATATATATATATATCTTCATTTTCAAAAAATTATGGACGAAACGAAACAATTATTTCTTTTTAAATTAATGAAGAATAAGATGCCACATAACAAATTATTAAATTTAGCGTACACCAAAATGTACACTAAGCATTATTGGTGGTGGGGTTGAGGGAGGTGACGCTGCAACATATCCTCTTAGACAGTATATATATATATATATATATATATATATATTGTGTGGAAGTTAGTGAAATTGCTACTTTTAAATATAAATTATCAAAAATGCAATTTTTTTTTACATACTTATTTTTAAGCATATATTTACACTATAAAATATTTTTTACATACATCCAACACTTTTTTCTATTTTTTAATTACATATTCTCCAAAAAGTCATTATTTGAAACTAAATTTTATCCAAATAATGGTTGTCAAGCAGGGACTAAGTCTCATTATCTGAAAACTCATTTTTTTTAAAATTTATTTTCAATTACACACTTTTTCAATAAAATAATTTTGCTTGTAAATTTAGAAACTCTATTTTTTAACCACACATTCTCTAAAAAAAGTAACTATCACAAAAATTATTTTTTTTCCCCAAAAAATAGTACTCAAATAGAGTCTAATTAATGTTTAAGTTTTAATTAAATCTAAGCATTACATGGTAGGTACACAATTATTGAAGCGAACTTAGGAAGTTTTCTAATAAGATTCTTTTCATGAGACAGTTTGGTACAAAAGAAAATTTTAAATTTATTGTAAGATAGTTTGACTAATCACGACAATCTCAGCTATCTTGCATAGATAAGTCGAGTAATCAAGATAGTTTCAATTGACTCTATTGATTAGTCGAGTTGTCTTTCAAGACAATTAGAATCGTCTTCCATCTTTCGATATAGTTAGAAATGTTTTTCCAGATGTTTAAATTGTCTCGCATACCTTTTTTTTTTTTTTTTTTTTTTTTTTTTGTTTTTTTTTTTTTTTTTTTTTATTTGGAAGATTTCAAGGTTTACCGGAAAAAAAATTGTGCCCACCAAATAGCGTGTCCAAGTTTTGTCAACAAAAAATAGAATAATTGACATTTCATCAAATGTAAAAGAAGTACTCTTTCTAATTTCGCTAAAATGTAAACATTTTTTTTCTCTCACTTAAAAAAAGGGGCTAAGACACGAATCTCTCTTACAATAGAAAATAGACATTTTTGTTTTTTTTTTCTCTCTCTGAGATGGTATTTTCCACATTTTTCACACAATTTCCTCATCAAGCCGTACCTTAATTAGGCCCATCCTTGGATAATGCTGGGCCAAGAAATGAAGCGCTTGTTTGATTTTGATTCTTTTAGAAGTGATTCTTGAAAAAGTATTTTTTGTAAACGCGCGGTTAAAAAAAATTGAAAAAATATGAAAAACATGAAAAATGTTATGAAAAGAAAGAAAGAGAAGAAAATAGAGATAAGTCAATAGACTTATGTTTATTTTATTAAGAACCAGAGCCTTATATTTATAAATAAGAATCAGGAATACAATGATAATAATTTTTAAGGCTGCGGGGTAAATGTGTCATTCATTAACAAACCTTAATAAACTTATAATTTATAACAAAAAATAAATTTTTTGGAGAATACGTACTAGATAGGGTTGGGCAAATCTCCCGAACCGAACCTGAACTCGAACCGAACTGAACCTAACCCAACGGTTCTAGTCAAATTAAATATCCGAACGGGTATTTGAATTGAGAACCGACGGGTACGCTTCGATTCTCGGTTCTAGACCAAGAACTGAAAAATCGAATAAGAACCGAATCTTTCTAATTTTTTTATATTAAATAAATCAAATTATTTTAATTTTAA